ACATACAATCAAGTTAAAACTTCTATGTAATTTGTTTGTTTTTTTCTGGATTTTTGGTTGATGTTCTGTCTCTCCATTAAAATGAAACTCCTAATAAAAATTAGATAGTGTTCATTTCATTATAAGTGAGCAAACTAACAAACTCAGCGGGGGAATTATTTCCTCTGCTATACATGCAGATGCAGTAAAGAAAGACAACTTGAATGCATTACACAGAAACAGATCCTATGGTTGTGTTACTAAGGCGCACACAAAGTTGTATAGCACCGTGGGCGTATAGCTGGGAAAAACAAAAACTTGCATCCTTTGGTAGTGAAGCTTTGACAGCCTAAACAGCCTAAACAGCTGTTTTAGGTCCATTCTAGAAAAGCCAAAGAATTGAGCAGCAAAGCACATATATGCGTGCTAAGTTTATATTTAAAAGTGTTTATATCCACCTTCAGGATAATTGAAGCATAAACACTCTTGATTACAAATGTTTTCCAACTGTTATGAGTAGTTATAAAATTAACTGTGTTTGTTTTACATAAATGTATTTGATAGCTTAAAACAATAAATAGGATACCTGAAGTTATAAATTCACTGGCTTAGAGTTTGGATAGATGTTATATTGGTTTATTTAGAGTTATACATTATTAAAATAGTACACTATCTGTTCTTTATTGCTTTACTGGACACATTTTAAAATGTATTTACTAAATTAAATCTGACAGCAGAAGGAGATTGTTGTTGAATGCCAGCCTATTTGGGATCTTTAGAGAGTGCATTCTGAAATATGCTTCCCTCAAGATTTGCATTACCTCATTGTACATAAAGACCTATGTCCTTCCCTCCATCAGACATTCCCATGGGGATCTGAGAAACCAACATCTGAGTCACCAACCCACTTTCCTTTCTTTCTTTTTTTAAATTTCTTGTTCTATTTTCTATCCGTCTCTTTGTGTCACTCTTTCTTTCTGCCCCTTTCCTCTCCATTCCTTCGCTCTTCTTTCTTCATCTGTTTGGGCAGACATCCAGGGCAGATCGTTGCTCTCAGGATTTCATTAAAACGATGTTGATGGAGCACTCTCTCCAGCCTAAGTAAATGTGCTCAAGTCCATTTCAGTGTGCATTGTTTGGAAATGGATTAGCGAAGTTGGAGGAGTAAAGGCAAGGAAAAGAGGGAATGGGGGAGAAATGAAAACACGGAGAGGGAGCTCTACATATTTGTCTTCCACACGAAGGAGAACGTTTATTTAGAATCTCTAAATAGCTTCTGTGAAGTGAAATAAGATGAGTGAAAAAGGCAAAACACTGGGCTTTTTTATTTTTATTTTTTCTAAATTCCGGTAAGCTTATCTGTGATTTTGCTGCATATTAGTGGTGACTGTTGATTGTGCTGTGACAGGTATATGTGTTCTAGATTTTACTCCATTCTGCATCACCATGTCAGTGACAGTCTACATGAAGCTATCTGGCATGTTGGTGGTTCGTATCCTGAGCTGCTGCAAAGACATGACAGGTGTTTCATATCCTACTATCTACACACACACCCACACACTGATATTGCTGAGCCAGGGGACCATAACAGACACCAATAAGTACACACATTACCTGACCACCAAATGTTTATCCTTTATCTTTAAGACCTAGCTGTCATGAGAACATGCTTGTCTCGCTATGACAGCCACGGTGCATCTCCTTTACAGATGCACTTCAAACACATCACTAGCTTGTCAAAGCTGGTCACAACCTGTCACAGGCAGCCACAACCAGGTGGAAACCAGTCACATTACTTTAATCTTACTCGGGTGACATACTGTATGGCAAAGTCTGTTCGAGGTATGCTGAAGGGAATCATGTGTGCAAAAATGGCTTGCTGCGTGAGCTACAATCGTTAAAATAGCCAAAAGGAGGGGAGGAAAAAAAACAAGAAAGGAAGCAAAAATTCTGATGTGATCAAATTTAGTAAACAGAAGAAAAAAACAATACGAGGGCGGGTGTGAAAATCAAAAAAACAACAAAAACCAAAAGCAGCTTACTTATTTATTACAAGCTAGACTCAAACCTCCCAGGAATTCAGGCACTGAATGTCACCCAGTTTGTTTGTTTTTTTATTGTTGTTGTTGCGTTTTTTTTATTATTACCGAGGGAGCATCACTTGGTATCGTCAAGGCCTAGACATTGTGCAGGTGCAAATCTTGCTGTGCATTTTGGCTCATCTACACACAGATTCTCAGTTAACTGTCCAAGATAATTGGAGTGTGTGAATTCTGCTTAAGGGGCAATATTTCACTTCAAGGCAAACAGAAAACAGCTTGTTCCTTTTTCAGTAGCCCACACAGTATTATAAACACCCAACCCCCCACGCACCCCAATGCTTCAAGGCTACGCAAAAGCATTTGTACTTTTGTGTTGACATTAGGTCTATTTTAATTCCCAACATCACTTCTGCTACACCTCTAACTCGTCTCCCTTGGTATTAATGCTTTTTCTACTGAAAAAAATATATAAAAAAATAAATACACCAGTGCTTTTTATTATGTTTTTGCCTTCTTCCCTGTATGCATGGACTCCACAGCAATTCATGTTATTAAAGCCGGATTTTGGCAGTTATCATTGGCCCACAGCAGTAATTACTAAGGGTTTGCATAGCTGCCTCTGACTCACCCGCCTTGGAAATGTTATTACTAATGTCTGTCTCATTGGAGGCGCACAGGAAGCTTCTTGTGAAGCCTGTGTCTTTGCTCAGGCCATTCCAACGACACTGAGCTCATATCCCAACAGGGTCCTGGGGCATGAGACCAGATGTACAAAGCGAGGAAGGGAGTAAGCAAGTAATGACAAAGCGAGGACGTAATAGAAAGCTATTTTTTTTTTGTGCTTGGAGCAGCTGTTTTATTTTTGTGTTATTCTGCATTTATTGCTCATCTCATATATGTTCGTCCAGACAAAATAATTGATGTGAAGCATTGGCCCCGACAGTGTGACAGATGAAAAAGGAGAAAATGAGTCATTTTATATTTTTGCAGGGGGCAATGCTTTGCCTGTATCAGTGTAGTTCGATTGCCCTAAGAGAAAAGAAAGAGCAAGAGAAAGTGCCCTTGGGTCTCAGTTTAGATGAAACGATTCAGATATGAACTAGTCTTGAGATATGAGAAAAGCGCTGAAGTCAGTGGGGTTATATAGCCTTTATTCATCTATTGATCTCTTCCTCTCTTCCTTTCTTGCTTGTTCTCTCATTTTGTGCGTGTCACACACTCCCGCAACCACACACTGCAGCATTGTCTACTTTCTTCAGTGCTTTTTCTTCACCGGCTGATGCGCTCAGTCAGAGCGTTGTCTCTGCATCTAGCACCACTCAAGGTCAGATATTAAACCTCTTTTCGGGGTCAGCAACGTCTCCAAGGTCAAAGAGGTGCTCGCTAATGAGGTCAGCCTCTCCACCTCTTGCAGCGCCATGTGACAGTGTTCTGTAATCCAAAATTAAACACAGACATTTATGCATGAATAAGCCTGTTTAGCATTAGTATTGTTCAACATTTCATGTGAGCCAGCATTATGAAAACACCCCAAATCACCATTTTTTTCGGTGTCTTATTCATTTCCCTTTTTTTTTTTCTGCCTCCACCCGCCTCTCCCTGTGGTTCTTCTCTTCTCCTGTCGTTCCTAGAAAGTCAGCAGGGAACAGGGTGGTCTGTGTAGGTTTCTCCTGGGTTTGTTTCCAACAGCAGCTTATCTGCAAATGCTCAGGTTCAGCTAATTGGCATTATTAAACTGGTGGCAAGCTCAACTCAGCTATAAGGGAAGGTCCAGTGGGGGGAGGTGTGTGTGTGTGTGTGTGTGTGTGTGTGTGTGTGTGTGTGTGTGTGTGTGTGGGTGGCACAATCCTCTCTGTGCCTGTGCATATGTTATCCCACTGCGCCTGTATGTGTGTATGTGTGCACGTGTGTGTGATGGGAAACAAGCAGCTGTCAATTTCAATCAACAGGGTGCATGGTTTGCCTGGGGGCTCACGTAGCCCAATTACAGGCAGAGGTGTTCGGTGTATGCACAGAAAACCGGTCCTATCTTCTTTTATTAAAACTGGAGTATGAGAAAGGATATACTAAATGCAAAGTTGGTTGATGAGTGTTGGATGCTGCTGATATTGAGGCAGAATCCTCCCTGTTTTTTTGGCTGCACTTGCTGGATGAGAGAATAAAGAGTTAAAGACTAGAACAGCTGAGAGTACTGATGTGGGTTTCAGGAAAGGGGCTGACTTCAGCATACTAAAGCTGAAAAGAATATTGTTTTGTAAGAGAGTGATCTCAGCCATAGACAGTGTAAAGGATGGATGTAGCTACTGTGACATCACTGTTTTTATGCCTCAAGATGAGCACTTTTTGCGTCACTGTCTTGACATGTTTAAACTGGATCTGATGGCGAGTGGCAGATCAGATTGTGAAACCACACGTTCGCTGGCTACTGACCTGTCAATCACAAGTCTGTAGCCAATGAGCATTTACTGGATAATCCTCTTTTCTCAGCTTCGAATTGACCATAATTTACTAAATAGACTTAATGTTTTATATAGTATGACCTGAAATATGCCTACATAGTGCTTTTCTACTCTGACTGAGCGCTCAAAATGCTTTTCATTGTAAGCCTCATTCATCCAAGAGCTTTTTTTCTATATCCAAGCACCTTATCTAATATTTGCGCACACACATGGTTGCATCCATCAGGGGATACTCGGGGTTCAGAATCAAAGGAACCTTTGATGTGCAGACTGCCGGGGATCGAACCACTGATCTTCTGATTCAGACAACTTCCTGAACCACACCCACCACAGACAAGTCAAATCACATCAGAAAGCCATTTTCTCATAGACTTTTAGAGGAACTGAAGTCTATTTGCAACAACGTGTATTACCCCTGTTGGCCTTTTAAAAGAATGGAGGTTTAAAGCTACGCCCATTTTTTTGTAATATGTGTAATCTAAACTTAGAAATTCAACTCTTTTTTTTATTATTCTTTTAGGGTGGGAAGATCCCAGTGAGGTGGACAGCACCAGAGGCCATCGCTTACCGAAAATTTACCTCGGCCAGTGACGTGTGGAGTTACGGCATCGTCATGTGGGAGGTGATGTCATTTGGAGAGAGGCCTTACTGGGACATGTCCAACCAGGATGTAAGTGGTTAAAACTACACAAATACTTTCTTAAATATTACGATTGCATTTTGAAAAAGCATGTCTGGGCAGGATATTACACTGTAAATGGAGTTCAAGTCAGTTGGGACGAGCAGGTGTAGTACAACACAAAGTCAGTTAAGTACTAATTAAACATAAAATCAGCACTAAAGATTTTAAGCGCTCATTTCATGAGATGTTCCCAAAAACTCAACATCTAAGTTAAGTTTTATCATGTCTCCGAGTTCCGATAGAACAAAGAATAAACCTGAATCTGAATAAACAGCCTCATTAAATTGAACAGCCATTTCCGTACAGATGCGGTTATAGATACACAATCAAGGGTAACTCATAAGGGAGGAAGCTGTAATAAATCACACATTTTTATCAGCCTGCATCACAAAGCATCATTACTGAAGATGCCCTTGACTCTGACTTTGAAAGCAGACTTATTATGGGCACAGCCTCACACTATCCCCTTTCCTTCCTGGCCAGCTTTTGAGAGCAATGAATGATTGCTGAGAGCTCTGCTTTGTTCCCCATGTCCGCTTGGATAACGTCCACGCTCACAGGCACCAACACAAACACGCGCAACCATTGGATATAGTCCCATACTATGAGGTCTCTCTCCCTTAGCTCCCTTAGTGTGACAACTAGCCAACCATCAGGCCTCTATGGACCTCGCTCCACAAGGACCGTCCAAACCAGCAGATGTTGCCTCAGTGGGCCAGCAGCAAACACTGCCTGGTGGGACTAGCACTACTCAGCATGTCCGGCTGCTCAGTCCACACTCTCTTACACACTTAAAACACACTCTCACAAAAATTTTCGCACGCACGCACACGCACACACTTTCTTTCTCTATCCTGCATCCTCTCACTTATCCACACAAACACCATAACCTCTGTTTCTCCTCTTCTCTTGAAATCCCTTTTGCTTAATATTGCATCAAAGCCCCTCTCTATACCCCCTCCTAACTCATATCCCCTCACTTGTGCGTTCTCTTCTCTAATGCACCATTTGTCAAGAATCTGCTGAGGTGCACTCAACTCCAGGGTGGAGCTGGCGATATACAGAGCAGCACCTAACTTTTAATGACTATCTTTTACACACGATCTTTCATCAGACTTTCATCTTGCAAGTAAGCAAAAAAAAAAAAGAAAAAAAGATTAAATCTACAGACAGTGTGGATAATGTGGATATTTGTGAGCACCAGTTCCATCAATTTGCAGCAATCTTGGTAATCATTAGTCTTTGCAGTGTCTGCTTTTGTAGCTACTGAATCAACATTGCATATTTCCTTTAAATATATCTAAAGTGATCTCATTGTCTATGCGTTATTTAACATAAAACCTTTTATAACTAACAAAGAAAACAAAACAAGGTGAAGATACTCCACTTCTGTCAAGTTCTGATCAAACTTATATAATAGAAGTCTTTTACTCTAACTGCCCTTAAATTCTTTGTCATAACGTCTTTTTAATGAGTCCTGATAGCTTGTGAAGCTTTTAAAAGTCATGTGTCAAGTGGCTGTACTTCACAGTGTTAATTATATGCAATCTGCCCATCCCCCCCAGGGGCTCCTTTCTAGTGACACTGCCCCTGCTCTCTGTCCTCTCTCTTTCCTCAATCTGTCCTATAGGAGTGATATGTGATTGGATAGAGTCAAGAGGAAGGGCACATCATCCTGAATGCAAACTGTCACTTTATTGACCAGAGGGAGTGTCCATATGGGGAGGGTTGCAGTTGGGTTCTTGTTGCATTGTGATGAGGCAGGATTGAGTTTCAGCCATAAAATAAGTCAAATTATTAAAAAAATGTAACCAGCTTGTAGAAAACACTCTTACTGACAGTAAGTGTTTGAGAGACATACTGCAAGTGCGGTATATGGTGTGGAATTAGCAGCTATCTTCATTTGTAAGAGACAACATCTTGCTTTCTCTCTCATAGGTAATTAATGCTATTGAGCAGGACTACCGTTTGCCACCACCCATGGACTGCCCCAGCGCCTTGCACCAGCTGATGCTGGACTGTTGGCAAAAAGACCGCAACGTGCGACCCCGCTTCACAGACATCGTCAGTACTCTGGATAAGATGATCCGTAACCCCGCCAGCCTCAAAGCTGTAGCCAATATTCCTGCAGTGTGAGTAAAAAAAATAATAATTTGTACACGTAAGAAACAAATTGATCCAAAAACTGACATTAAGTATACACTGACGCTTCTCCTTATGCATGTAGTCTTTAACACACTGTTTGTTTCGAATGAGCCCAGCATGCATATGTGCACCGTTTTATCTTCTCATGAATTAAGCATGAATTTATTGCTATTGATTGCGTCAAACTGCACTTTTCCTCCTTCTTATCCAACCTAAACACTGGTTTCAGGAACTCTCACTTTTTTACCCCGTGAAGATGGAGCAAAACACGTTTTCAAAAAGATAAAAAATGGAATGAAACACCTCATTTACATATATTTTCAGAACACATTCAGAGCACGTATTTTTTTTTCCTTACTTTTTTGTGAAATACTGGACTTGTTTTGTACAATCTCTGGCACCCGTCCTCACAGTTTCTCTCAGCGTCAGCCAGATTGAATGTGGTCTGTCTGTCCGTGAACTGTGAGTTTCAGGTTCCTGCACTACTTTTTTTCCAGGCTTCCACATATTTTAAAGCCAAGCAATTGCGACCAGTTACCGATTACCTGCAGAAAATCTTTCTTGTGTGGCATTCAAAGAAGGAGTGGCAGATGTGCCTCATGATACTGAATCCCTTTACACTTTATATTTGAGATACATTCCAATATTCACTAATAAATTCTCTCTCCCTAGTTCTCTTGCACCCTATGGCACACACCCATGAAAACACCAGTATCAGCTTTACTCTCCTTCTCTTTAAGTCTGTGCTTAATATTGCATCAAAGCCCAACTATATCTCATCTTCCTCCCCGCCTTGCTCTTGGTGTTCTCCTCTGCACCAGGCCCTCTCAGCCACTGCTGGACAGATCCATACCCGACGTCAACACCTTCAGCTCAGTCGAGGACTGGCTCGCTGCCATCAAGATGAGCCAGTACAGAGACAACTTCCTCAACTCAGGCTTTACCTCCCTGCAGCTGGTGGCACAAATGACCTCAGAGTGAGTTCAACTGCTTGTGTGCAAATGACGGGTTTTCAGACCCATATAGCTTTTGATGGGCACACTTTTATAAAATGACTCAGTGTCAAGTGCATGTATTTTTAGCATAAATGCACCCAGTGACTCAAGTGATTGCATCAAAGTTAAAGCCTCGGTGGGAATTAAAAATACAACACATTGTAAGACGAAATAACGCACTCACCGTGGTAAGAAAATTTACATCTTTGCAAGCTATGTATTACAACTCTTATCTGTACTAATAATTAAACATTTTGTGTTGACAGTGTTCTAAAAAAAAAAAAGACATGAATGTGTATCCTCTATATACACATTTTAAAGATGCATATTTTCACTTCTGCTGCCGCTGCTGTGTCTGTGAAGTGCTTCAAAGCGCTGGTCATGACAGCATTTCTCAAAGCACTTGTGGTACCAACAGACACAAATATTGCACTTCATCCGTTTTAATTAACAGTGTTGCTTGGCCTACAAAATTATGTTGAAAATGTAAATTCATTCCAACATTTTTTTATTAAAAATATATGCTCGGGGCCTGGTAGCATTTCTGCAATGTCTTTGCAATTCAAAGCAACACGCACTACTGCGTCTTCTCACAGAGATGGAATTAATTTAGTAAATTTGTGGGTTTTGTTCATTGCTACTAGCTTTCCATTCTGAAATTGTGCGTTCATTTGTAGTGACGTTAAGTCCGTGTGAGCTCGTTGAGTTGTGATGGGGGATTTCTTGCAGGTGTTTGCACTTCATACTCAGATCATCTATTCTAACTCCAAATTATTGGAGATCCTGTGTTTTTCTACAAAAAAAAAAAGGAAAGAAACAAAAATACCCTGCTTTTCACTTTCTGTCTCCATGTTTCTTTCTCTGTAGAGACTTGCTGAGAATAGGAGTGACCCTGGCAGGCCACCAGAAGAAAATCCTTACTAATATCCAGTCCATGAGGGTGCAGATGAGCCAGTCATCTACGCCAATGGCATGACTACCGGAGGCGCTGTGCCATGGAACAGGCAGCATTCGAAGGACCAACAAAAATAGCAGCCCTCGAATGACCCCCGATCCATCGGAACGCGCCAGAGTCGAAACTATTGTCTTAATCTAATCCACTATCATGACAACAGGAGACCAGGGTCTACACTTCCACATGGTTAACAGCTGTCACACTTCATGCAATCCACGACAGGAGTTCAGGGTCCAGACTTGATACTGTTTATCCATTCATCACAAAAGGGAAATCAATGTCCGTTGTTGTGGTTATGAACTACCATTCATTCCATTTTGAACCAAAATAACCAACAATCAGACATCAACACAAAGAACTTCTCAGAGTTTCAAACTGTGGTAAAGTGAGTGATACTGTACTTCTGCTTCATGTGGACTAGAAGGTGTTAAAACTTTAAACTGAAACGTGAGGCATTTAGAAACATGTGACGTGTGATTTTACCCATCCTGTCTTCAGTCTGTGCAATGAAGATGCCTTGACCTGGCGGGAAATAAGTTCCAGAAGAAGAAGAAAAAAAGAAGAAAAACAAAACAAAACACCTACCAGTGGAAATCATTAGAGGGAGAAGCATACAGGGATGTACAGCAGAGCACCATTTTCAACTTTCACATCATGTTGTACTTGTTTAAAAAATGTTTTAAAAAGTGTATTGTAAATGGACAGGTAACAAAAAAACAAAAACAAAAAAAGATCAGAGCTTAGTTATATTTTTATCCTTTACCATGTGTTTGTTTGTCTGTTTTATCATTATAGCAAGATGCAGTCCACTTGTATTTTATCTTTAACACTACCTGTGGAGTCTTGGGTGGAGGGCCTTGCTAAAGGACTTCTTAACCCAAGCCACCCACTTTCAGAGAATATAAATATGTTTATCTCTTGCTAAATATGATTATATCTTTCATAATAAACCTTCATATTGAAGGTGATATAAATGCATATGTATGTACAGAACTCTATGCTTGCATTTTGGCAAAGACATGTTGACTGAATTCTGACTGAGACACATGCAATGTTTAGATTCCAGTTTCCTTTGGATAACTGAACAATGGGCACTGGATTGTATGTCTCGTTGCTCCAGGGATTTAAGGACAATTTGGGCTGACTGGAGAAAATGTAAAAAGAATGGCTGAAGAATTGGTATTGTAGAATTGTATGAAAATTGCTGTAGGAGTTAAAATAACTGACAAACTATCCATTAACTGGGGGTAATGTTAAATGTGGGTGTACACATGCTGTCTCTTGCTGGTGAGCACTTAGTTGTACAGATATGTTTTATGTTTCATCTTCTTTCTTGACCTGTTGTTTGTCTCGGGAGCGGTCAGCACCATCCACAGGGGGAATGATCCTCCGTTTCCTGCCCCGGGACTGGCCCAAATTCACGGTGAGTGCCAGCTGATCGCGCAGGAAGAACACAACTTGGAGTCGAGTTGCTCTATATGTGGTACATTTTATTTCGGGCAAATCTAGTTAATGTTTCTCGTGGGTGCTGCAAATGTCTAGGCCGTGGTGAGATTTTCTGCGAGTTTGAAACGCATAGGAGAGCGGGCACTGGAAATCACTGCGAATCAGCATCATTTCTCTACACGGTGAAAAATGAACATCTGGGCTGAAGTTTGCCAACAGACACCCGATGCCATTTCGAGGAACACACAGACTTAAACAGCCCACATGGGCACACTGCTCACAGCGTAGCACAGCCTCCAATCGACTGCTGTAGCTAAGCTGCTGAGTTCATCTGTGCACTCATGCTATATGCAGTTGCCAAATGGCTAGGCAAGTTAAAGGAAATTGCCACGGTACTTGTGGGAATATTTCTCTAACTCTTGGCTGCATGAATTGTCACTTAGAAATGTACTAATCTTGTAAGGTCTCTACATTATTCCCAAAAGGCATTATTTTGGGATATATTTAAGGGATAGTTCCGAGTTGTGCACAAGGATGATTCTCTTTCTTAGCATGGCAATGATGATGCTTGTGATTTTGCTGTTAGTCTTATTTTTCCTTTTGCTGGTCATTTGCTTCAGGGCTAGGCTTTTGGAAACGAATTGCAATATTGTTGTTCAAATAAAACCTTTAAAAATGGTGATCATTAAAAATGAGAGTCAACAATCTTTCAGTACAGGCTTGGTAGAACAGCCCTGTAGCAATTATGGACTATTTTGGTATCAATTCTTTGCAGTAGCTGTGACCCTGCTGAAATCCCTTTTGGCTCTATTTGAACAGACATGAGTGACGACGGTCCTAACCACCTTGCATCCAAAATTAGAAATTGATGGCAGGCCCATTAGCAGATTATTAAGTGTACTTAGCCCTCTCAAGTCATCCTCCTCCTCCTCCTCTGTCTGTCCTGCCCTCTCTCCCCGACTACTCCCGCTGGCTGGCAGATCTCCAGCTCGTTTATCCTGGGTGTAACCAAGCTGTCCTGGGCTGTGTCTGGAGCTGAGTTGGGCCAGAGCTGGCCTGAGAAATGGTTGGCTCCATGCTCTAGTGGGCCCAGGCAGGGGTGAAAACACCTGCTAAGGCCCCCTGTCTGACGGGCATCTGATCAGCCACGGGGAGGGAGATTGATGGGAGCATAAAAAACAAATACACTCACAAACACATGCACGCACACACACAAACACTGAGGAACCCTCAGCTAGTTTATTCTCACGTCTGGTTTCCAGGCTGATGCTTAATGAGAAGAAAGTGGGCTGAAACCCGACAGAGTGTGTGCATATGCGATAGAAAGAGGAGGATGATTCAGTTAATAGGAGGGCGGGGTTGCATGGCAGACATGGCATGAACAAAGGATGGTTTTGATGAAAGTAAGAAAGTTAGTTCATTGAAGTGAATCAAACTCTTTTATCTCACAGTGTGGTTTATGTGGCAACATCTCTTTCATTATATAAATGTTAATTTGCTTTAGTTTGGTAATGGAAAATACTGTAATCAAGCAATTGGTTTGGCTCACGGGCAAAATCAATTGCTTTTTCTATTCAATTCTCCGAGTCATTGATTTACCAAGTATTCCTAAATATAATCACAAGCTCCTCAAGATTGGCATAAATCCCTTTCACTGAAGCCAGTGAATCAATTTGAATGCATTAGTCCTCTATTCAGCTCAGTCTCATGTATTTGCTTTTCAACCCAAGAGCCTGTGAATGAGATGATAGAACGTATTCATTATACAAAAGTGTAATTCTTCTTTTTTTTTTCTCCATTTGCTCTGTTTGTCTTTCTAAATATCTGACTGTAATGACACTCCAGTGTGATGAATGGAGAGGCGGTTCGCCATCTTCCTCTGAAAGCTGTTTCATATGGGAGCCATTCATCACACACTGATAGAAAACACAAGAACTTGCTTGTTAAACGTTCCATGTGCTGCAACTGTCTGAAAAGTGACCAACGATGCTTTTAGCAGCAAAAATCATGCCTGTCATTTATGGATCAGAACGGCGTGAGGCCGAAAATGATTTGGCGTGACTCCTTGCAAAACGAAACTCGTTAAACTTCTCCGTTCTCCTTTTTCTCCTCTGTTTCAGACTGGGAACTCAAAGATTTACACACTTATAAAACCGGCATACACCCGGCACTTCACAATTATATTCTCATGGATGCGCACAGTGAACACCAAGAAGAATCGCAGCGGGCCAGTGAGAACAGGTGAAGCCAAAAGCTTTGAGTATGCCAGTCACAACCTCTCTCTGTGTGATGAGCAGTGGATGGGGGGAGCTGACTGTGAGTGTGCACATGTCACAGTTTATTTGTTTGTGTGTTCAAGAGAGAATGGATGTATGCATATCAGGCACATTTGTGTGTACAGACATTGTGTGCACAGGTACATTGGTTTCCTTTTTCTTTCTTTTTTTTTAGTTTGTGTATAGCAGCCACTTGTAAATTGTGACAAGTATGTGTCAAGAGTTTGTAAGCTGTAACTTTCTGAGAACTATTGTACTAAAATGCACTCAATAAACGCCTTGGAAAACAAGTCAATCACATCAGAGTCTGTGACTCACTGGACGATAATTCTGCTTTCATTAATAGTGAGTCAAGAAAGGAGAGAGGAAGGTTATTATCCAGTATCCCTATCCTTGTCAGCACTGTGCTTGAGTGTGGTGTGACGTCTAATGCTTGGCTTCATAATGGCTAAGGAAATAAACAGCTTTTGTCACCACAGTCTGGCTGGCAGCACATGTTAAAAGCCATCAGCCACTAATAAACGAGCAGTCACTCGCATTACATGCAAACACAAAAAATGTCTCTCCAAAAAAAATAAAAATTAAAAAGTGACATTATTATGACAAACTAGTGGAAATTATCCTCCCATCTGAAATCTTATATAGTATTTGTTTCTCAGCCACATGAATAAAAACCCCACCAGCAGTTTCACTACTCTCATAATTCCTAGTTGCCACAGAGACACTTCTAGGGCACTTCACACGCCGGAAAGCATGCTACACAGTAATGATATGGTTAATGAGGTGAGTCAAAAGATATAGGGATGTATCCAACTCACAGCATTGCTCCATAGCTGTTTATTGACTCTAATTGATTGATAACATCCAGATTCATATTAGCAGAGAGACTGCTGTGCAGGGGCTGTGCCAAAAAAAAGAGGAAGCCAACAAGATGAAACAGTCAGTTTTCTCACTTCTCAAATTTGTTATGTTAAATAAAGTGTTTCAGTCGTCACTTTTTATTTATTTTTATTGAAGTGTATGAAAGGATGAAACCGAATAGGTGGTTGAGGTTGTTTTGTAAGGAATTGGAGAATTAAAAATGTGGATGTATTTACAAACCTAAGTCCAAAAAAAAGTTGGAAAGAAGCCGTGTAAAACTTGAAAAAATGTATTAAATGTTTAAACAGAGAAAATGTACCATTTCAACAAAAGGCTGGAAAAGTAAGTGGTAGTAAAAAAAAAAAAGCTAGAGGGAAGTTTTGCTTAGCTAGTAGCAAGTCAGTAACATGAGTGGGGATAAAAAGAGCATCTTGGAGAGGCAGTTTCTCAGAAGCAAAGATGAGCAGTTCATCAGTCTGCATGTTCTTCAATGTAAAATTGTGAATACACAGTGCATAATATCATCAAATGTTTCTGGGAATCTCGAGTAATCACTGTGCACAAGCGACAAATGAAAAAGTCTGTATGATCTTCAGGCCCTCAGGCCGATAAACAGGCCTGATTCTGGGATAGAAATCACTGCACTTTTCCCAGGAACACTACCAGAAATCACAGTCTGTAAACACACTTCACAGTGCCATCCAAAAATGCAGGTTAAAGCTATATCCAGAAACACTGCCGCCTTATCTGAGCCAAAGCTCATTTAAACTGAGCTAAAAGGAAGAAAGAGGAGAGGGACTTAGAATTATCAGTGCTCAGTTCAAAAGCCCACATCTCTGATAGCATGAGGATGCTGAACTGCAGTCCAGACCTTTCGCCAACTAAAAACATTTGATGGACCATAAAATGAAAAGATGTAATAAAGTAGAGCCAGGACTGTTGAGCTGCTAAGATTCCTAGAACAGGAAAGAATGGGAAAACATTCCACTCCCAGCTGGTCTCCTCTGTCCCCAGACATTTAATGCCTGTAGTTAAAAGAATAGGATATTACACAGTGGTAAAGATGGTCCTGTACATTTTCTTACTCGGTTTAAACATTTGATGTTGGGGCGCCAGTTTAGCTCAGTGGGTGTGTGGGCCATACGCCACATGGCCAGAAAGCAGCAGCCTTGGATGTTCCTTTGCTGCAGGTCTTCCTCTGTCTCTCTATGCACTTTCCTGTCTGTCTCCACCTTGACTATCTGCAAAAAGCAAAATGCCAAAAAAAAAAAAAATCTTTAAATTGATGTTTCTATGTTTTCATTTGTGAATAAAGTATGGGTTTGTGAGATTTTCAAATGATTGCATTCTGGATTTTCTATTTTTTTTTTAATTGGATTTATCAAATATTACTTGATGCTGACAGTGAATGACATATACAACATCTAATGAGCCGTAAAAGAAAATAAATATGTCAGTGTAATAATTCTCTCTGTCATAACTTCTGTCTTCAAGAAATTATGCATGAATTTTCAGTCTCTGAAACTCCAGCGTGTGAAAGAAATGCAGTACTTTCAGAAAATACGCTCTCTTTTGGTATTTTGTGATTGTAGGAGATTAAAAGAAAATGCCCTCGCATATTGGTTGATGTTTGCTTGGAGATGTGTGTATAGAACAAACAATGATAATAGTAGTAAGAGTATATGTGGAAAAGCTATGATTAAAATGAGGTAAATAAACTTTCATGAGCTTCAAAATCAAGTTTCTGAGCCACACAAGAGTCTCTCTACTACAAACACCTAGAAAATATAGACTTCATGTAGATATAAGAGGCAAAACTCGAGGAGGTTATTCATGCAAAGAAGAGATAAGGCATGAGCCTTAGTCTCCTGGGAAAATGAAGATCAGAATCCATGATGCCTTTAATGCACTGACACATTTATGCAAATTTCAGGCAGCGTCATTGCTGATGTGTTTATTTGCAATTTTTTTTCTTCTCCAGGGAATCAGGTATAAAGAAATAAACTGAAAATGGATCAAAAACCTCACTTTGTCTTCATTTCATTTGGATGTCAAATGGCCTTTAAATAATCCAAAAATTACAATTTTGTGTAATGATAAAAATGAAAAAGAAAAACCTCCTTCAATATGTATCAGGACATTAAAAATCATCCGGTCTTTAGCAGATGTTATAAGGAACATGCAAATAATAAGGAACTTTTGCTGTCCATCAAATTGGGAAGGATTATAAGACCATTTCCAAAGATTATTCACAAATGGGAAACATTCAAGACAGTTGCCAGTCTTCCCAAGAGTGGAGCCAAGTCAGCAAATGCACCCCAAAGTCGGTGCAAAGCTCAAAGGAAGTGCAAAAACTCAGAGAGCTACATCTCAAACTCCACAGGGCTAAGGCAGCAGGTTACATGACAAAGTCCATAATAATATAATTAGACAACAACTGAAGTATGTCTTGTTTAGAAGGGTCACCAGGAGAAAACATCTTCTCTCTAAAAAAAGAACATGTCAGCACAACTTAGGTTTGCAAAATTGCATCTTACCAACCCACAAAACCTCAGAAATAATGCTTTCTCCAAAGTGGACATGGTTGGCCATAATGCACAGCACCACATTTGGTGAAAACCAAACACAGCATAGTGGCACAATGACCTCATACCAACTGTCAAGCACAGTAGTGGAGGGGTGATGATTTGCAGCCACAGGACCTGGGCACTTACAGTCATTAAGTCAGACATAAACTCTGTTTGCGTATAACCTATATAGAGTATACACAGCTCGGCTGAAACTGGGTAACACAGCAGTACAATGATCGCAAGCACAGCAACAAATCTACAACAAAATGATGAAAAGAAGAGTCAAAGGGCTGCAATGATCCAGTTCAGACCTCAATCTGATTGAAATGCTGTGGCAGGACCTTAAGAAACCTGTGCATAAACAAAAACCCACAAACCTTAATTAACTGAAAGAAGGTTTTGAAGAAGAGTGGGTTAAAGTTCCTCCTCAATTCATCAACAAAAAAGTTATTGCTGTTGAAGATGGTTTCTACAAGCTACTGAATTTAGGAGCGTACTGTGTTTTATCCAATATAGCATTAATTGTATTATTAAGCTAAGCCATGTCCATAATTTGTTTTAATGAATGTCATTATGATGTGCATTGCCTTAAAATCCATTCTTTTCTTTTCCTAAGTCTTTTTTTTTTTTTTGCACATTCATATTTCTGCCAATGTTTTACCATAAAACTCTGTTAGGAAATGAAATGCTTTTGGCTTTAAATGTGAAATTGATGAGCAGTGAATGTGTAGCATCCCAAAGAGGGTGTGAAGTTTCTCATGTGTAGCACAGTTTGGGAATGAGCTTTTCTATGTTTGTCATTTTGCTACATGCACAGTTTGTGTTGCGTTTTATGTAACTTCACATTAGATTAGCATAGTGTTGACACAGGTGGAGAGAGACCTGGTTTGATAACTATACCTATGTTTGTGTACATGAGTATATAAAGAGTGCTGTGAGTGAAAGGAAGACAACCAGCCTAATTTGTTTTTTGTTTTTTTTTTGAGACATTTATCTGTCTGTTTAGTGATTTACTATTATGTTAAATAGTCAAAGCCTCAATACAAACAAACGGAAGCATATCAGACAGAAGCTTTGTCACACTGGTGTTATCACTTAATCCAAAATCAAAACCTAAAACAAAAAGCTGCCTCTAATGGAAGCCTGCTTCCAATATAGGTCAGATTCTTCCTGCAGTTAAACTAAACGAAGGCGCCAGTTACTATATCAGACAATACAGACCTTTAGCTTGTTTTTCATTCTTCAGAATAGAATGAGATTTTAGCGTTGCAAGGAGAAATCCAAACCCATTTTTAGCTGGTAACACTTTTTAATTTAGATAAATCTGTCTAGTATAGTGTAGTTACCACATTAGAATTACAGAAAACAAAAACAAAAACAAAACAGACATACACTCACAAACACAAACCTGACTTTAAAATTGATGCTCAAGCACCAGCAGGTGAAACAGCAGCATGTCCGAGCTGGCTGGAAGTCTGAAGTTGTTTTTTTACATCTTATCACACCAACCATCACTATGTAGCGCAGATGGACTTGCTCCATGCAGTGTGAAGTAAGAAAAAACATAACAATTTTCTAGGATTGCTAAGTCGCTCTTTGTGTTTACCTATCAACTGCTCCCCTAAAGGAAAAGTCAATTTTCTTTTTGAGTATAGTATGTCTTTTCTCTCTCTCTCTCTCTCTGTCTTCCAGTTTGGATGACCAAAACCAGACCAGATATCACAGTCTGGCTAAGAGCTGCATCCCTGGCTTCAACTATGTTGTTCCACTCTTTATGTGCAGGAAAGGATTATCATTAACACAAAACAGGCATTCACTTTCGTTTTTCACCTAAGAATTAGACGTTTAATCAAAATGAA